GGGACTTGCCGGCATCGACCTTCCAGTTTCTCCCACTGACATTGTCCGACTTCCCTTCCTGCTCCTCTTTCCTGGTTCTAGCTGGTGTGTAAGTCGCTGTGATGTCCTTGTGTTGGCTTCCTCTGCCTCCGAGGAGTCCGACTGGTTTCCATACCTGTGAGCGTGTAGAGGGAGGGGGCTTGGCCAGCTTTGCCCAGATTCCCTTGGGACAAACATTGGATTTGTCCCCGTGCTGTCAGTGCTGGAGAAGTCCCTTTCCATGCTAGGGCCCCTCCTCCCAGGACAGGGGCTGTGTTGGAATATCAGAGGTGGAGTCCAATGTGTCTTTCCAAGAGATTGGTTTTATTTAGTTCTGTACATACAGGGACATCTGTACAAAATCCAACACTTTCATACTATGTAATGCTCTACTGAAAATAAAGTACACCATATGTACATATGAACTGTAAGCAGCTTAATACTTGTGTCCAGGGGGGGAATGCAGTAGTTAGTTTTGCTTGTTCCCTCAGGAGGAGGGAGCCAGGTGAAGTGGAAGAGGCAGCTCCAGTTCTGTCCATTTGGCTGATGTGTGGAAAGGCATAGGCAGAAATGAGCAGCACTAACGCTAGAAACCAAGTGTTGAGCAAGGGGCAGCTGTAGCGTGGCAGATGCAGGTCTGCATATGAGCAGTATGTATGGCGGAGGGGGTGAACACACTCCCCCCTTTCTCACATGGTCCCCTTCTTAGATGTCCAGGACACTAGAATGAATAGGCAGCAAACTAATGGCAACGTGAAGGTACTAAGCGTAAGTTCCCTGACCCAGAACAAGACACGCAAAGCTATGAGAACATTCGAGCCGTACAGCACGTAGTTGTGATGTGTTACAGTCCTGCCCTGCGCATGGCACAACCCTGGCAGCATTCCTCTGGCCACGCTCGGGGACTGCCAGCAGAGACAGACCATCTGCAGGACAGCGACAGCCTCTGCGCACCAGAGGTCTCTGTTCCTTCTGCAGGCAGAACAGCCCGCAGCAGGGAAAGGCAGCCACTGCCTAGCAGCAAGCAGGCTCAAGTGAGGGCACACACATGCTTTAGCAGTCTAAAAATGAGGTGGCGGCTTACAACCCAGTGCTAAGTGGACGAGTTGGAAAGCCTGTACTGCAATGGGAAGAAACATTCTCCCCAGCCCAAGCCCTGCTGTGGGTGATGCTTGGCAGTCCTCATCTCCACTGTGCCCTGAGACGCCTGCCGCTCCTGTGCGCCATCCAGCATCACCCAGTGCATGTCTACATGCTGTGCCAGACATGAGGTAATTGATTGGCAGCTGACCATGAGCTCGGACTAATGTTCAAAATAAGCAATAACCTCCCTGAGGTGTTTCATAAGTCTCCTGATGAACTGGCCCATTGCATGAAGCGCAGGGGAGGCGGGGTCCTGCGTGACTGTGGGTGATCTTGCACATACTCATGCTTGCCAGCTGCTCCTAAGAGATGGTGGCATGCCTAATGAGGGCTGAACTGAAAGAGAGCTAAACAGGGCAGGGGGTACAGGATACACAGGGAAAAAACAGCTTAGTTTGGGTTGGAGGAAAGATGTGCCTCACACCAGCAGTAAGAATAGAGGGGATGAACCTCTGACCTGCGAATGGTTTACTGGTGAGGACAAGCAGATACATGAGGACCTTCTGCAATATCCCATGATGCTGCAAAGCAGTGCCAGACTAGCACTGACCCCATAAGCTCCCTGCACTATTGCAAACCCACTTAAGCTTATGTGTCAAGAAAGCAAGCGCAGCAGGTGAGAAGCAAGGAAGATCCCCTTTTCTATCACAAGCCAGCCTCTCTGAGGTGGCACCTTGGCCTGGGACTGAATCCGCACCACAAAAGGCAGGGGAGAAAGTTGGATCACAGTAGCACCCAGGTGCTGCACAACCCCCTGGGCTATCAGCAAGTGCGCTCTAAATGCTAAATTAGCACAAGTCCCTGATGCACCATATGATAACTAAAAAGGGCCTCGGGCCACAGCAGGTGCCAAAGTAACAGGGCGAGGCAGACTTTGCTCAGAGCACCCACGGAAGCAATTCAGCAGTAGCACCTAGCCATTGATCATAAAGAGGAGACAACTGAACACTCAGAAACTCAGCCTGGTCCTGTAACATGTATCCATTGCTTCCACTAGTTTGCAGAAATTATTTTAGCAGCACAAGCTTCCTAGAAACCCTGGCCACTGCAGAGCTAAGGATGGGATACCGCGACAAAGGGAGAGTTGCAGGAGTATTTTAATTGAGCAGGTAGAGGAAGAAAGCAGAAGTCAGTGGCTGACACCTGCTACAAAGCGGGAAGTTAATTCTGGGCCCACAATTAACCCAAGACACCAGGATGGAGACAAGTCAGCACGGACCAACACAAACAGCTCAAGGTATTCACTTTCCCACAAGAGAGCTTCTAAGGATGCTCTAAAGGGAGGGCTGCAATAGTATGTAGTGCTTGCACCCAGCTTTACTGGGGGTGGCAAAGCACTGAGCCCCCACTCCATTGACAGGGGAACAGAATAAGGGGCTTGAAGCAAAAGAAAGGTGGAAGCGAACATCTCTTCCGTTGTACGTGAGACCCTCCAGCTGCGGAGCCGCACCCCAAGGCAGGGTGGAGAGGCAGCAGAGCCCCCGCAAACTCTGCCACATACTCCTGCCCCAAGCTCAGCCTGACCTCTGACTGCCGCAGGGCTTGGCTGCACAGGCAGCACGGGGGCAGGCATGGTGGAGATGGGCACTTGGGGCTTGTAGCAGCATGTCGAGCCACGCGCTGTAGTCTCTGGCCAACACAGAGCCTGTGTTGCAGGGCAGCAATGCTCTGGCTTCCAGGCAGTGTAAGAACCAGGCGGCAGCTGGAAATGAAGCGACTCCTGCCTGGGCTGATACAATCGCAGGTCAGGCAGGCTCCCTTCACGCACGCACACCCAAGGTGGAAAAGCAGGAGGAAGGAGGAAAAGCAGGAGTACATGACAGTGGTGAGATACAAGTTATAACGTAAACCCAGATCTACCCTGGAGGGATGCGGATGGAGTGGAGGACAGGCACAGCTCACCGTGTTCATTCCTTATTTATACATGAGAACCGAGTGCATTTCCATGACCCCTGGGGAAAGGGATGGGGCAGAGCTTCCCGGGCCAGCTCCTGAGCCCGTCAGAGAGCCTCCTGGCTTGAGGTGAGAAACTCTTCTGCTCTCTTGTGGGCCTCCAGGGCTTTTATAGTGTAGACGTCCTGAGGAAGCTCAGATTTCCGGCGCAGCAAAACTTTCTCCTTCTTCATGTCTTTCAGAATCTACAAACAAACCAAAGGAGTCAGGGATCAGTAGCAAACCCCTTCACCCCTCCAGCCTCCCCATTCTCTGACTCCAACTGCTCTAGGACGTGCTGGGTGACACCGCAGCATGCTGCAGAACAGGCTGAGAGCCAAACACAGACCAAAAGAACACAGAAAAGTCCCACTTGCACTTTTTCCAGAGTGGGAAGGTTAGATAAATTCCACTCTTCAGACTACAGGTTGATCTCTAATGATCAGGGATGAGAGTAGGGGCATTTACCCTCAGAATACTTGGAAAGAGCCAGTTCTGGCTGCTGGACCCTGGACTGACTATGCCGATGTCCTGGCTGATCTGAGAGTAATTCTGGCTGGTCTGAGAGTGGAAGGACCCTAGTCACCTACGCACCTGCACAGCCTCCGTCTCCACTGTTTTCTTCAGTAGCTGTATATCCTCCGCAGTTGGGGTCTCCGTTTCCATACAGCAGACAGGAGGCAATGATGGAGGTGCGTAATACATGGGGTACTGCAGACAACACAGACAGCTGGAGAGTCAGCACGCCATCCAACACCAAGCCTTCTCCCCCAGCATCCTAACACAGCATGGCACACTTCTTCCAGCCACCCTCTCTGGCATCCGCAAAGGTAGCAGTAGGTACGCAGACAGGAAAGGAGCATCTTCTCCTACCCATTCCTACCTGTGCCCTCTGAGCCACAGCACACTGCACGTGCAGCCACAGCTGAGAGAGGAGTCCATAAACACGTACATGCTCTCTATAAGGCACTACTTAGAGGTCAGTGCTACAGAGGGCCAGGCTGGTAAAATACTGCCAGCATCCCCAAGACACTGGGTTTTGGGAGGGACAGACCACTGCTGCAGCTGTGTGCACAGGACTGAGATCAGGTGCTAGAGCCTGCTCTCATGAGCTGAGGAAGCAGGTTCAAGACCCCCAGCACATTCTTGTCTCATTCATCCTGGGTCCTGCTGTTACCCACCTGGGGGTTCAGCCGGGCCAGCTCCTCTATTTTCTGCCACATTTCTTCTCGTTCCTTCATCCTGAACCTTCCCCTGCAGAGAGAGAAAGAGTGCTAGTATGAACTCCCAGGGAAAGTGCAGCTTTCGCTCACAGGAAGACAAAAGCAAGAGGCAGCAGAAAAGTGTAGATAAGGGGAAGAGCTGCTCTGTCCTTCAGAGACCTCTAATTCTATCTACAGGTGAGATGTGGCAAGAAGAGGGGACACACTTCAGCTAGCAGGAGGTAGGCAGGCACACTCCTCGCTCACCTCAGAGCACAGGGTGGCAGCAGTGGGCTGCATAGGTACTTTTTCCCTGGCTTTGTGCTTGCAGGAGCGGACCAGAGCAACTGGTTTCTGGAGTAAAGCAACGACACCAGTTTGGATGTCAAACACATTTTCCTGATGCCCCACAGATGCAGAGAGACCAATTGCCATTTCCAATGGAGCTGGGGCTCAGCTGCCCACAGTTCCCTCACTCTCTGGCCATAACACACCAGAGAGCTGCCCAAACCCCCACGCACAACTTTTGAACTTGGCACAGATTTTGGCACAGACCTTAAGTGACCGTTCAACTGGGCCACCTGTAAATCCCAGGGCAGTGAACGTTCTCTGCAAACAAAGGTGAGCATCTACCACTCCTTGTTATTCTCTTCTATATTTTAAACATCTGCACTAAAATCTCTGCTTTATTTCTGATTTTAACTATCCGGCTTTCATCCCAGCTACTGGTGTCTTTAGTGCCCTATCTATCCATGCTAAGGAAGTTCTTATACTCGTAATCTCACTACCTCACACTCTTGAAATATAGGTAAGAAAGGAGGCTAAAAATGAGAATGAAGCTGCCAAGCATTCAAGCAGCAGACTACTCCATCAGAGAACATAGGGTCAAAAAAAACCTCCAAAAAACACCCACACCTCATTTTCTGACAGAGCTCTGGAGATCTCTCCAGGGGACTGTGACCAGGAGTTAGCACTGGTCTTCCCTAACTCTTTCTTGCCTCATCCCCAATTTCTCCAGAATCCTTCTTAATGTCTGGTAAACAGAAAAACACCTATTAGTCCAATCTTGCCACTGGAAATGTAGACCAATATGTCTGTCCACAAAGGCCCTCACATCATGAAGGCCACTGCCCCTTCAAAGCAATGTCTACTTTGCAGGTATCGTGTCTACTGCCATGCCATGTAAGGGTGTAACAAAGCTCATTTTGTTCAGCCGGACTACATCACAGTACTGGTTTAGTACACAGTGAGCCAAGGGCACTCATCCAGTCATTCAGCTCCCTTGACTCAACTGTAGTATTACAGCTGTCCAACATCCCTCTATAGGGGAGCTTCCTCCCAACCTCATCAATCAGCCTGGCTTTACCCCTACACTAGGACATTTCCATTGCAGTTAATCTGAAGGTATCACTCATCCATTTGAGTCTTTGGAGAATCCTACCTTTCTAAACAGCAATGCCTCACAGGACAGCGCTGAGTCTACGGGAGCAGCACCCCCTGCCCTGCTTTCTAGATGATGTGCACCTCATCAGCTCCCTTTATTCCTGACCCTATTACTAGCAGTATGAGAAAGCCACTGGCAGGACATTTGGAAAAGAAGAGCCATATTGGGAAGTATCTTCTCCTTCGCGCTGCTGCGGCCTACGCTGCAGGAGGCAATGTAGCTGCTACCAGAGACGTCAGCTGTAAGGGTGGCCCCAAGGGCATGCTAACACCATGCTTCTTGAAAGGCAGTGTTCAAGGCCCTCGCACTTTTATAGAAGGGCACGTTCAGGACAAGACGCTATCTATCTGCCCCAACCTCCCCGCTGTTTTCTGAAGGGTTCTGATAATTCAAACAGCTTCAAGATGTCTGGGGAGATAAGTAAGGCACAGTCAGTCCATCTGCACTGAACAGTAGAGAGCCTCCCCACATGTCCCGGGGAGAGTCTGTCCCTCCATGACCAGCCTTGGCTGCGGCTGCACAGCCAGGCATGCAGCGGTGACAGGCCTGAGCTGGTATGTCACCTGTAGGTGTAGTAACTAATTAAAAACATAGCTAAGGCTTTTCTGAGCAGGTCTCTCAACATCTGGTTGCAGCCTAATTGTGTACCTACAAGCTCTCTCCTTTTCACTGTTTCACATTTACTGGCTTTGTTCGCATGTGCAGTCCTTCCCACACATGCTATTTTCTAGTTCACAGCACAAGGTCTCTAGTGGCAAATTGGGAAAACACTTCATAGGTCTCTCTTCCTCCTTCTGTCTATGCTAAAGAAGCCTCAGCGTTTCAAACTCGTCAGTCTCACTGAAGAAGGCTGAGGTCCTGTGGAAAAAGCAAGGCATCCCACAGTTAAAGGTCAATCCTGCACTACAGTGATCCAGCCAGCATTCCCATAGGCAGCCTTCAGCACGCTGCTTTACTCGACATCACAGCCTCACAGGTTTTTATTAGAAAAAAAAGTACTATTTCTACTCGGTTTAAGCCTCCGTATTTGAAAAGAAAATGGCAGTTGACTGCAATGCCACGTTACTGTCCACCGACAGGCATGGCCAGGGAGGCAGCAGAAATGAGCTGCGGGTGCAGCATGCCTTCTCCACTGGAAGGGAGGCAATGGGACCTGCTGTTCACCAGAACAGGTCGCAGCACTCTGCAGAAAGAAGAGCAGCTAGGAGAAGTGCAGGAATGGCACCCCAAACTCCGAGGCAGACTCTTCAGTTATGAAACGGGCTCATTCCACTGGGGAGACACCACTAAACACTTTCTCCTGCCTGTGAAACATGCTTTTTCTAACCCCGTTCATTCCAGCAATGACTTATTCTATTACACTCCAGAACATGCAGACACAGTGTTAAATGCACATGGATTTGCTTATATTTCTTGGATATTTTAAAGACATGCAGGGAAAAGATGACATTTTCACAATGGACTTAAGCAAAGAACTCAGGCATACTGCTCTAGTAAACCCAGGTTTCTAATCCATCTTCCCAAGTGCATGCTCTTTTCCCCCACCATTGTCCTACGTCCTGTCCAGCCCCGGGCCCTCCTCCCCAGCGCTGCTCTTCACTGTACTTCTGCCCAAAGTCTCTACCTCCTTTCTATCTCCTTGCCCAGACAAGCTCCTCTTCCCACCCAGCCTGCTGTCCTACCCCATTCCCTTCTGCCACCGATTTCCCTTTCTAGTTGTTTCCCAGCCTGTTCCTACAGACCTTTCACAACGTTCTCTCCCAGCTCTAGCATTCCTTCAGAGGGGGACCTTTTCACACTCCTCAAGCCAGGAACAGCTGCTAATGCTGTGCTAGCAACAGCAGAGTTGAGCTTTCTTGTTTTTGCCCAGAAAGGCGTACTTAGCTGTGTCCCCGTGGCAGGGAAATCCCACATAGCTGAGGAATTTTATCACGCTCACTGTAGGTAAATTAATCTCGGATTCAGCTGCTAAGAGACATTTTTATATCCCGCCCACCAAGCTTTCAATTGACATTTTACCAAATTTGGTTATCTAAGGAGAGCAAAAGGTATATCCTTGATAAAAACCCAACACAAGGTTTTCTGAAGCATAATTAGGCAGAGAGGCACTAGAGAAAAAAAATCATCTTAATATGAGCAGAAAACAATGCAGCTCTACCCATCCATTTCTTGGACAGCTCTGAGCTGCTTTGTTGGCCTTTTCCAGAACAATCCTCCATCAGCCCCACACAAATGCTGAGAACAGTCACCTTCAGCAGGTCAACATGGGTAGAAGCTAAACAGGTAGAAAAAGCTCTGATGGAAACACCAGATAGATCTCATAGTAAATGTGCTGTCACTGTGCATTAAAATATATGTGCAGACATTCACAAATGCCCTAGAACAGGGAAAAAAAAAAATCTTGCCTGCTCCAAATTTAGGTGTTAACAAAGCCTTAATATCTCCATATGCAGGTTACCCATCCCCAAGCTCTCAACTTTGTTATTTATTACTATTTCACAAAACAACTGAATGACGG